GAAAATCTAATCGTAAATACCTCTTGGAATTCTTGACGTCAATGATTCTATGTTATTTTAGAAAAAAATAACATCAGTGTTTTCAAAAACAATTATCATATATTATTATTCCCCTGGGTTGCAAGTGGGACTTCTTCAAAACATCTCAGTTGTATTCTGCCATCTTTTGTAGCTGACTTCATCACTGTCCACAAGATTTTTTCTGCTCTTCATATAACTTCCATGCCACCTTCGAGTGTGCAATTCGTCTTTTCCCATTCGAGTTCCACTAGAGGGACTAGCATGTGATATCACCTGAAGGTATCTCCCCAGTGATTGTCCAGTCTATCTCTAATTCACTCTGCAAATTTGTTAGGCAATAAGCTCTTGGTTGGTTCGTTATCAGAGTTTCTTGTCGTTTATCCTTTCTGATCTCCACTCTAAGACAGCAGGTCGAGCGTGAGTACAGATACTCGACGATGAAACTGAATAGTGGTCGCGCTATGTGGTGAATTGGCAGAAGTTAGAATTCATGAGCCATTAGATCAGATCCCAGCTTCTTAATGGTCTACGAACTTACCTTGTAACTGGAAGGTCCTGGGTTCGAACCTTGGCGGTGAGTGCGTACTGATAAAGATTCCCAAACTAGGACGAAACAGCTGTCCAGTACTCCGAGGTTTTCCCATGGTTCCCTAACTGATATCAGCTCATGATGAAATCCTGAAACTAATCAAATCGCTACAAACTAACACCTGAATAACAATTATTTTCTATTATGGATTTATAAATGTAGAACTTGTTCAATCAGAAGTTACCGAAAAGAATATTCTCTGAAATGTATAATGGCATCTTTAATCAACTGCCCTCTTTGTTGTTTAGCACCTAACTAATACTTACAAACTAATTAATAACCATCAATGCCTACCATTTCTGATTAGTTATCGTTAAAAACCCATTTACTTCGTCATTGCCTGTAGCTGACTAATCGCGTCAATGTATTTTCAAATTTTCAATGAAACCTCGTGCTGACCGTTTTTGAAATAATGTGAAAAGAGTAGAAGTCCTGGTTGAGATGCCGTCAAACAATTAGCACAGTTGCACGTAGCCGTCTTTTTTCTTTACCGATTTTATAATTTCACTATTTTGCCATCATGTTGATTTTTCCTGCCAGTAGGGTAAATTTCATTTTATTTGTTTAAAAGGTGATGTAACTTTTGTATACTTTTTATCTTCGTGTGCTTACGTCATCACCCAATTTACTCTAAAATATGAACTGATAATGAGTCAGTCATGTGGTTCTTGCATCCTTTTTTTCAATCAGCAGAATGAATCTTTTCTTTTTTCCCTCATTTTTAAATTAATTTTTGAGTAACTATCATGTATAAAAATCTGATAATATCTGATACACTGTTAGGCCATTCAAAAGGAAAGAACTGTTTTAGAATTTGGACACAATATCTTTTATATACCCCCTAATTTTACCTAATTTCTATTCTTGACATTAGCAGTTATCGCGCATCCATGGTGCCACTTCTGTTTCTCACTCTTTGTAAAGGTAGGGGTTGCTAAATTCTTTCTAACTTAACAGTGAATTTGATGTTCGTCAGGGTCATTTAATAACTTACGTATTTAACATCGTTTACAAGTATTTTGTGACCCAAGTGGTCTAGTACGTAAGGTATTACGTCAGTGGTACGATACTGGCCAACAACTCACGCGGTCGATGTGTGGTCTCCAGCCGACTCACCCTTAGACGTTAGTTAACCGGTAGTCAACCCAGTAAAGAGGGAAGATTGAGCCTAAGGTTAGAGCGTCGCTCCGTAAAAAACACCACCGCCGCCAGTGAAACTTCAAAGCTGAAGCTTGAATCCCTTTGTTCCTCTGGGAGTGTAAAGGAATGAAAACAACAACAATTCTTTTGACTGTTGCATGAAACTGTAAAGGCCTTGTTATCAATGGTTCGCCTTCTTTTCTTACTCTTGCACGCTAGTGGTCTTGTTATTGTTGTGGCTGACGTTGTGGATTGAGTAGTTTTGGTTAGTTAATTATATCTTCATAAATCTCAGTCAACTAGACCGTGTTACCGATCACATCAATACGCGATATCGTTGGTTGAATTGGTGGGTTTGCCTACTGTGAACTGAATGGTTTAACCGCGAGGTTTTCATTGTTTTTCCAGACATCATCTTGAACGCGGTCTTTTCTGATGACATAGATAGTGACTGATTGTTCCTGGAGATTTCATCACCCTCTTGTCTACTTGTATCTCTAATAATTATTTTGTTGACCTGATTTTCAACTTTTTGTCTTCGTGGCTTCCTTAATCATTTTCCATGGATCTGATCTATTTCAGTATGTGTACCGATTGCAGATTCATTTGAGTGCTAAGCTTCTAGGAGCTTCAAGTAATTCTTAGTATCTCTTTTGTCTAAGATTTGTACATTTTCTGTGTTGAATTGGTGTTTGTAGTTTTCTGCATACATGTGGAGTGGATATCGTGTCTTTTGACAGCTAATTCGTGGATGCAATGATGAAAACAACGTCCATTTTGACTACAACTGTGAAACAATATGTTATAGTTTAGAACCTCTGTATGTGTGTTCTCCACATGCTAAGTAGGTGGTAGTTATCCTTTAGGGATAACTAAATAAAACCATTAAACAGTAATTCGAATGAAATTTGAGAAATTTGGATATATTCGTCTTTACTATATTACTTACAGGATCGGTGATACATATTTTTCTAAATTCAGGGTTGATTATTTTCAATCCAATAGAAAAAAAGCCAATGTAACGACAAAATACAGTAGTATTTGGTAGCACCACTATTTATTTGATAAAATGATGTGCAGTTATGGCAAAATGCAGAAATCTTACACATTGAAATCTCCGTTTGCACATACCCTTCATATTGTGCTTCTTTTATCATCCTTTCAAGCTTTCTGTATTGTTTCACAAGGACGTTTTATTTCTCCTCTTTGGAACCTAATCTTCTGCTCTACTACTGTTCAGTATTCCTGTGGAAGAAATCACACATAATATACTACTTACGAAATCTTTTCAGTATCACACACCACACTAATATTTTTCATAGATTTAGGTAGTGCATCGCGAAGTTGAACTTTAGGCGCCGAAGAGGCTTGAACGCACCAATGACCTAAGAAATAGTTATGGCGTTGACAGGTGAATTTAGTCTTTTTAACTCTGACCCCAATCTACCTTGAACCAACCCTGATATCTTCCTATTTAGGTTAACCTATCTCTAACTTGTTCCTAGCCAAAACCTAACCTTAATCTTTCCGAAACATTATCCAAACCTCACCACATAACACTTCATTCGGCATATTTGCCTCGTGAATATACTGTCTGGTTTCACCAACTTGCTGACTGAGCGTTCCTAGGTCATTGGTACGTTCACGTCACATTGGTGCCTAAAGTTTAATTTCGCTCCTCACTTTTCTACATTTTCGAGTCTTTTAAACTACAATAGATTGATAGATTAACAGATGAACTGTTTTTAAGAGCATACACTTTCTCATAATCAATCCTTTAACTCATATTCTGTCATAGAGAAGTTATTCATTCAACTGTTATAAACGTTAGTACTGTTCTGTTCTTTATAATGTTGACATTGTGGTGCTCAATTGGATGTTTTCGGATCTTTTTATCTTCTCCGAACTAGGTTGGTTCTCATTCATCTAGACAATGCCTCCAGTGTTCACTTCAAAAATTATGACCAAAACACAATTAATCCCGAAAACTCTTTTTATATCTAAGAGAACTTGTGTGTGTGTGTGTGAAATCACTGCACAGTCCGGAACTAGAACAAAACATCTGTCCAATATGTGCTCACACACACACAGCACAACACACTAGCTTTCAATAGTTTCCTCTAACTTAAATTTGATTATATCTACCGATATGTAGATATAACAGTTTTAAACCCCGTATATACATATAAAACGAGTGATTTTATCTGATAGAATTTTTAAGTGATCTCTAAAGTGTTGTGTACAGTGATAAAATTCACATACATATGTATTTTTTGTTAATTTAAATACGTGACTACTATATCTTAACACTTCAGCTGTATCATTCAGTTTCTGTATGTATACGCATATGTGCTTGACCCACTTTTTTCAAAATGTTACTTCCCCATCCCTTTTTTAGATATTACTGATTGATTTATGTGTTGTACAGTGTTATCGTGTCACGTACTAGTTTTAATTTTAGTTATTAAATAATGAAAATGACCTGTTCAATGCCATGTGTATAAGGAGCTTAATTTGAATGGAATGAGTGATAGGGCGCATGCATTTGATTGATTTAAAATGTGTGGGACGTGTATTGGTTGAATGATAAAAACGATGATAATGATGTAACTAGTTGACCATCAGTTGACGAACCATTGAAAACTAAGAAACACTGGATGGCTACCCTGTCCTAATTTAGGACTCTTCAGCAGTGTGCATCTATAATCATCCCACCAGGGATGGGACCTTGGACCTTCACCCGTTGATTGATTATTCAGTCAATTCGTGTATAAAGTACTACCTCCATCCAATGTTATCGGTGAGTGTCCAATTCACACTTGACAGCTAGGGTCCTATCCGTGTTGGGCTGGGGTCATGATTGCTCACTGAGGATTGGTCATACACTAGGGAAAAACAGTTATCCATTAATCCTTGGCTTGCAGCAAATTTCTGATTAATATTAGTTCATGATGAAACCTATACTGAAATCGATCGAAATTCCTGCTTGATTGTTTAAAATGTGATAAGTTGAGCCTACTAGCTGAAGTATGATTCGCAGACCATGGTAATATATGCTCTGTTCATAATGTCTTAAGCACTATCTATTTTAACATCTTCCTGTTTGTTAACAAATCAATTGTTAGAGATTTCAATTTCATTCATTTACTAATTGTTACTGCGTGTCTTTATTTTTATTTAACAAAAATAAGTCGTCCAATGATTCAATGATCTTTTTTTTGTTTTTATATTTGATCTGTATGTCAACAAGGTAAATGCTGGATCATGGCTTGCACTACGTTACAATGATATCTCACCATTAGAAAATCATCATTGTGTTACAGCCTTTGAGATTATTTCCAATCCAACAACAAATATAACCAGTGGATTAACACAAACTGAATCACGTCATTTTCGTAGATCTGTGATAAGGTTTGTTTTGTAGATAAAAACTTTTTTCTTTTTACTATTAATAGTCATAGTATATATTTGTCTTTCCTTATTTTCATGCATAATTGTTTCGTCAGATTGTTTGTTTGTCTTCTGGTATGTTTGTGTATGTTTGTATGATAGGGAGAGAGAGAGATTGAGAGGGGAAGACAGAAAAAGCAGGCTACTATTATGGTGTTATTGAAGAAAAGTAAAAAAAGAAAGAGATGCAAGTCAGTCTTCTTCCATTCATCTCTTTCTTTCCAACTCTCTCTCTCTAACTCTTTCTTTCCCTTAATCACAGGGTTTTTTCTCTCCAAATTTTTCTCTTTGCCCTACTATTTTTGAGAAAAGAATTAAGGTGATAAATAAATAGGTCAACTATTGAACATTTAACTTGTGTTGTTATATCTTTGATTTATTTTAACCGGGTTTTTCAATCATTATGCTGCTATTATGGATAAATCACCTTAAATGTTAATAAAACAATAATATTTATTAATTAGATTATGTGCTGCTAATATAATTAATCATAACTAATCAGTTTTTATTATAATGGTGAAAATTAGTATCCTGTCAACAAGTAATTGACGTGGACAAACTCTTATGTATATTTTTATACACTAGTCTATAGTGTATGTAAGTTTGGTGCATACCATTCTAACGGATTGGCAGGAGCCTGTGTTGTCTGCACTCGCCCTTGCAGGTGAAAGGTTAACTAAATAGTTGTGTACGTTCTGCCAGAGGTGTGACGGATGAAATATCAAAATCACATTGTGAAAGCAATGGTGGTGATATACACCAGCCGGAGCTACCTTCAACACGTTAGTACGATCGTTTCAGTGCGTACAGTCTTTCTGTATGTATACCTGTGAAACCAAGTCTCTCTGAGCTGTGTATTCGATCATCGCTATCTGCGTAGAACAACCGCCTGTATCCAGTGGCATCATCGTGTAAGGAACTTGGAGGTCTAATGGCATGTGCTTGGATATGACGACGATCATCTTTCAGTAAAAGATATTTGCTTGGAACACTGGCTTCAGTGCTTTAGATATGACATTCCCAGTGGCTTCCATACTGTCCACTGTTTGTTAGCTCTGGAACTGAGTGTGGAAAATGGGAATGTGTGATCGGCTTATATCGTGGAGTTGTGGGATGAAGGATATTTGTGTTGAGTCAGTATCTGTTAGTTCATCACAACTCTGATTACGGGGTGGGAGGTGGGGTGGATCAAAGAGATAATCCGAATCACTGGCTCGATATGTCATCATATTGTGTCTGAGAATTGAAATCAATAGACAGAATACTACCATTTCTTCTTTGCTTCTGTTTCTGAGAGTAAAATGAAGTAATGAACACTCTTTTGAATCCTCTTGATAAGTACACTTACATATTTTCACCATAGTGTTCCTAAATTATTCTATTTCTCTATTCCTTGTATTGTTATTTTGGTGTGTGTAGCACTTCCTTTAATGTACATATTTCTCCAAATTCGTGTTTCAAATAAGTGAATAAATAAGCTGTGCTCCATATTATTCCTTTCTTGGGTCCCGAGTGGAGCAAACGACTTCAGCAGCACATCTCCATTTCACTCGGTTCTCTTCAGACCCTTTTAGCTGCCTCCGCGACTTCCCACGAGTTCTCATCCTACCACACGATGTCCTTGTCGTCATTGGGTGTCCAGATCGTCTTTTCCTATTCGAATTCCACTGGAGAGTCTGACGCATCGTGATGTTACTCAGTTGTATCCTCAACGTGTATCCGATTCATCTCCATTCTCGTCTGTATATTTGTTAAGCAATGGGTTGTTGACTAGTTTGTTTCCAGATCTCCTTGTTGCTAATTCTTTTTGGCCATCTCATCTTTAGTTTGGAAAGAAGGCAGCTGTTGGTCAAAGTTTGCAGCAACTGTGTGGAAATATTTGGAATCAGTGACCTTGACATTGGTGTTGAAAATTCGGATGTTGTATGTTGTGCTAAATGCAGTAGATCTCCACATTGATTTCATAATAATGAACGCTTGTCTTGCCTTTCCGATCCGATCCTGACTGGCCTTTACATACTCATCTCTGCTGCCTGTAGTTGGGACGATGCTTCCTAGGTCAGTTAAATGAGGTGAACAACTTCCTTTAGATTTCTCTCTTTGGTGATGGTTGGTGTTTTCTGTTGTTTATCGAGGATTTTGATCACTTCTGTCTTCTCTATATTCATCAGAAGTCCCAGATTTACCACCTCTTCTGCCAACTTGTTGATTTTCGCCTGTAGATCTTCGAGTTTGTGAGACATAACAAACAAATCACTTGCGAAATCCAGATCTTCTGGGATCTGTCTGTCATCCTAACACTCACCATGGTTTGCTGCATATTCCAGTCCATTTCAACCGAGATTATCGGTAGTTATAAACAAGTGTGTCTTAGTCATATCTTCACTTCAAAAGCTTCAATGAGGTTTCCATTGTGAAGTACTTCGCATGTGACATCATCATTGAGCCAATGAATAAGATCTATAAATGTTTGCGGTGGTGCCACTACGCAGTGTTTAAAGCACCTACCATATTACTTCGTGATTGACGCCACTGAAAGCCATTTCAAAGTCGATGAGGCTGAGATAAGGAGTTGACAGTCATCCTAGTTTCCGATGAATAGTATCATGTGGTGTTGAGAATTGTTCCGGGTGTAGTATTCTATCCAGTGCATTTATAGTTTTTCCAGGGGGATCCACCCCAACATTTTTCTTGTGCTAGATAGGAACATAATTTTGCGTCAATTTTTGCATAGGCTTAAGTCACCCCTCTTCTGCAGTTTGACAAGATAGCCTTTCTTCCAATTCATACGTAAGTTTTCCCTCCCACACCTCCTGCTGTGGTGTTGTGAGCAAGTCCTCTGAGGTCTTTGTAACGGCTTTCAGTGCTTCTAAGTGAATTCCATCCGGTTCTGCTACTTTTAAAACTTGTGTTTCTGTTGGAGAGCCGGTATTTACTGGTAATTGAATGACCGCTAGCGGTATTTCTGGACGAGTTGTAGGTGTTGACGGAGCCATAATTCCTTTGAAATGATCAATCCAGTTTTTCCTTTGTTTCATCTGTTTGGTAATTAGCCTTCTTTAATTATGTTTCACTGGTTTCTCTTCCACGATAGTGCGTTGGCTATTTAATATAGTGCTTTGAGGTCTCTCTTACATACGGCCTGTTCTGGTTAAATAACTAGGATGTCTTAAAATTGTCTTTTGTCTTTCCTAACACTCTTCTTCACCGTAGTTTGTTGTGGAATTTTTTTTAATCCCTTCACGTTCCCAGTGGAACATAGGGCTTCAAGCTAGAGGCTTGAAGTTTCTGTAGCAGTGTTTATTTTTACTGGGTGGGGTTGCTAGCCTCATGCCCAACCTTTACTCTTTACCAGCTCTTTATTACTGGCTTACAGAGGTAAAGGAGTAGGTCGACCGGGGATCGAACCCCGGACCATGTGTAGGATCGGCGAACGTCCTAACCGCTGTGCCACCGACACCTTGTTGTAGAATTAATATTATGAAATTATAAGTTATGGGTTTGTTTTTGCTCATAGTCAGAGGGTTTCTATATAGTCGGTTTATCTCCAAACCTTTTCCCACTACAAATCGATGTCACCTAGGAAATCGCAGAAAAAATAAATAACTACTATATTGAGGCTTAGAACTCTTTACAAATAGTTTTTTTGGATAGTGTTACTAGAAGACGGAGATTATCTGAAAAACAATATGATTTATTTGCGTAATACATTTCGAAAAATTCTGATCACACATATTTACTTGTCAAGTCAATTTATATGAAAAAATTAAGGCTAATCCATTAGGGATAAGATTTTATTTTGATAAATCACACAGTGGTGTTATACAGTAATATTCACTGACGACCACGTTTCGAGCACAAATTATTGCCATTTGATATGATTATGAGTGGCAATAATTTGTGCTCGAAACGTGGTCGTCAGTGAATATTACTGTATAACACCACTGTGTGATTTATCAAAATAAAATCTTATCCCTAATGGAGCTATACTCTACCACAGTGCCCAAGTTTTATATCAATAAGGCTAATCCAAATACACAAAATGACAAAAAGGATTCATGTATCATAAGAATAATTAACACTACGTTTGGTTATCTAATCAGATAAGGATTACCAAGGTAGGTTAGAAGGAATAATAAATTGTTTTTGAACACACATAGGAGGAGGACCTTAAGTTTATGAATAACTATTACCTCAACATATTACAATAAGCGCCTTTGACCATTTATATAGATGACCTTAAAAGCTATGTTGACATCAATCTTGTAGGTCATATCGTTCAGATATTTGGCTATAGACTAAGTTGGTAGTCTGCCACCTGCGTCTATCGATTTTCCAAAGTTTATCTGTCTTTCTACCCATTTCGAAATATGCTCTCCCACTCTCACATGCAAAGCGCGATTACTCCTCCCCATGATTGTGTATCCATATACAGTTTTTTGCTTCATACCATGTACCATGTACTGCGACCCTGTAGCTGAATAATGGGTATGACTGACCTTATACTTCACTACGCTTGAAGGTGTGCAATGTGTGTACAAATGAACAGTCACACATCAGTATTATAAAGTACTTGTGCCCTCGGTTTCTGGCTTAGAACTCATCTAATAGTCATCTGATTTCACCGGATAGTGAGTGAAATGTGAATTCAAATTATTTCAATGTTAATTCCACTAGGAACCAACACCAGTTAGAGAGATCATTGAAAACCAGGGAACACCGAACAGCTGTCTCTTTCCAGCTTGGAACTCCTCATCTGTGCACACCTGCCAACCCACCGGGGGTCGAACCCGGAAACTTCATGTTACAAGACCAACTTTGTTGAGCATTCAACTATTTGGGCCAGAATTCAAAGTCCCATAAATTATAGCCTTGTCAAATCGTGATATATATATATATATATAGCTCTGCTTTGATCTCCTGTGGGATCATGGGTGCTCAATGCTGAAGAGTTCTTTCAAACTCTAGAACGATGCAGCTGTCCAATACTCTCTAACTTTCAATCATCTCTCTAACTGATGTTAGTTAGTGACGAACTCTAACAATTGGAATTAATCTAAATCTCTACGAAAGCCCATAATATTAAATTAGAATTATGTTTATATAATTGTTTCCTGTTGTGTTTTAATCTTGAATTTTATTTATATTTCATAAATATGGTTGACCGATTACGCCTTATTTCCTTGCATATTTTTTTTTCTCGTTTTTAATTTTGGTATGTCTGTCGGAAACAATAACAACAATGACGTCATCGAAATGAATCTGTCTGATTTGCAAAAAAAAAAAATTACAAACAGATGTATCCTAAGTACAGATATGGCTATACATACAGAGTGTATTTCACAATTTCAGTATTTACGACAACAAGTAATTGCTGTTTCACACAAATTAACGTCACCATCAATGGAGAATAATGCTACTACTAATACACCTAGTGTAAATCATGTCGCTACTACTGCCGACGATGATGATGAGGATGTGGATGATGGTAGTACTGAACCTTGTCGACCTAATCAATGTTATTCAGTATTTCCATCACCTCAGTTAGCCTCATTTACGCCTCTTCCTCCTGCTCATGTTTCGCCTCCTTCATGTCAGCCTCCACGTCCTACTTCTGTTACTGTTACACAGTTATTGAGTAATTCACGTGGATTAACTTCTCATGATCACAATGAAGTTGATCATTGTGATAATGATAATGATGATGATGATGATGATAAAGAAAGCAGACAACGACGGCAACAACAAGATGACTCACTTATCCGCTCTTCATTATTTTCATTGATCCATGAACAACCGGAATACTTACTAAGATTTTTAATGATATTGCTGAAAGTGTGTGATGTATCAAATGAAACGCGTTCACCATCAGTTGCTGATGCATGGTCAGATTGTTTATTCAATGAATTTTTTATGCAGGTTAGTGGAAGGGTTTATTTATCTATTTATTGTTGTTGTTTTTTTCTTAATTAAAAAGATACATTCATTTTCTTCGACTGATAGATAATTCATAATTTTTCTAGAGGTGTTTAGGCTTTATTGTCATATTCTGCATCTAATTTTGTTCCATTTGGTGGTTTATACTACTGACAAGTCGATATGAGTAGTTGGATACTACTCATTTCAACCAGTAGTAGTGTTTGCTAATCAGCCAAATCGAAGTGATCTGAACATTGAATGGGCGTTTCGATCGATTGGTTCCGAATTCATCAACAGTATACTCATGGTGAATTTTCACTTCAAACTGTGTAATTTGAAAATTACGAATTCGATTTTATTCCTCTCCCCTACACTTAAACTACTTAGAAATGTGGTTTATTAATCATTTTTTGATTTCCACCTAGTAGTCGGCGATTTCGAATCCTGCTTCAGTAACTTCTGATTAGGAAAGTGGGTGGTTTCATCAACCTTTACAATACAATTACAGTGGCTTATTTTGTTGAGTAATACGGAAGTTAGGCGTGTTAGTGCTAGGTATGGAAGGCAAACTGATCAGGCTATGAAGCTACATTAATTGAAATCACTAGGACACTTGTTACACATACCTAGCCACCGCCTTCCTCAACGATTAATAACAGCTGACAGAGGATTAGACTGCAGAAGAATTACAGCTGGCCTAATCAAAACCTGACGTCAGTCTATGAAATCTTTGACAGTTAGTATGAGCCATGTAGGGAGGTGCAGACTGCCTGGTTAGGTAAGGTCCTCATAGTACTAAGAATGAATCACTACAGACTATCGGTAATATGGCTCAACATGGATACTTTCACTCTTTATAAGCTCTCAGATCCATTAAGTCGTTATGTTTTCCCATGACAGTATTCTTTCTCCCGTACATTTTTGCTCATTATAAATCTTTGAATTTCTTTTTGCTCTCTTTTCCCTGTATTTGTATGTTACGTGGAGGGCAACAGTTCAAGCTGCTGCACTTCTGTATAGAGTTCTATGCTGAAAATTAGTCAGTGTATAAATTGTAGTCGATGCATGAAATATCTGGTCCGGATAAGTAATTTACGACAAGCACAAATTACTCAATAAACTGTTCTATATTCTTGATCCGAGTATAAACACGTCGTCCATTTAAAAAAACTCTTCAAATTATGTTTTTATTTTTACGTAATTTTTTTCTCTGCCAACTCGAAATCGAATTGCACCAATATAAAGAGATTACAATTCACATTCTTTAATAATGCGCACTTCGAACCAAATAACAGACATTGTTGGAATTGTATAGATCGACTATATAATCTCAAAGAATATGATGACTCATTTTTAACAGATAGATAGGTAGAGCGAGCAGTAAATTGAAAAGCACGTAAAAGTTACGTAAAAATGTGTATAATGTTATTTTTTACAACAAATCGTATATCCTACTCCAAAGTTCGCATATCTTGACATCAACGTCACATGCTCGTTCGAATCTCTTACTTCACCGAACTAAACAGGCGTGCTTTCACTTACGCACCAAACTTTCGATGAAAATGTAAACTCTTTACTTTGGTAAGCAGTTGGTTAAATATTTATCTTAGTATGACAGTGTGTGACATCCCTAAAATTTCAGCCATCTTACGTACAATTGTTGTTGTATACGGATCCGTAACTTTGAAACGTGAATTTATAGTTCTAATGCATATAATTAAAATAATAGTGAATTCCACACCTACTCACACATCCCAACAGAGAGCGGCTATCTTCGCATGGTGGTCAAGCTTGCATATCTCAATGACCTCAACAATCTACACTGGCAGGGGTGAGAGTTTCTATAAGTTCTACCACACGAGCTAGGTAGTTTGGATAGCACTTAGACTAAAAGCTGTTACCATGATAGTGTTAGTGCTACGTCGAGGAAAATCTAAGGTTAAATTTGTACTGCTGGCGAATAGGTATGTAACTGCAGTAAAGTGTTTCCCTCCGAAGTCCAGAAAGCTAGCTGTGCTACCTCTTCTCTTTAGGGAATAGGGTTTAGAAAAAGTCGACCCCGAAAACTGTTCATCCTGACTTACTTTGCGGCTGTCTCTGGCCGGCAATATGATCTGTTTACGGATAAAACTCTAAAAACCACTTCAGCCCGGCCTCAAGCAGGTATTCTCTGTGTACTATGGTGATGCAAAACTAATGCTTCTTGTCTTTCATGTATTTTAAGAAGAAATCAACTTCTATGGTGTGAACAACCGGGCAGTAATAACCGCCTACACAATTCCACATTCACCATTCACATATTTCCATAATCACCATACTGTCCATTAAGAATAGCGGTGATAACTTTGTAGTTTAGCAAACAGTAACCTAGTCTTTGTGATGATAGGTTTAATTACGAAGTTACTCATCCAAGTGATGAGTTCTGTAATGGGTGAAACGTTAACTTAGTGAGAAGTCCTTACCAAGAGGATATTGACATTGGATGTCAGTGACACTGTCTCTAGTTGGGGAAAAGTATTTCAGCGTTCCCTGATCTTTATTATTTTATGTGTATGATGAACGTAGACATTTTTTTCAACAAAGAGACGTATATTTAGCTATGCTACCAGCTATAAAGTCAAACAGGGTTAGTTGCTACACAATGCACACATCTCTTGATGGATAGTTTGATATCATGCTTGAGACAAAGATGACACAAATTGGCGAATACCTGACGGACTTTTTGTTTGCGTACTGTAACTTCTTCGCAAATCAGTTCATTATGATTCATGCAATTCTATGAATATGTGAGCTGTTCAACAAATTCAACAATTTCTTTACCCACCTTTATTCTAGGAGTCTATGAAAATCAAGTCCTTCAGTATCATCTTAAAGTTGACAAGGGAAAACCGCATGCCAAACATAATTATTTCACCGAAGTGTTCAGGGGGCTGCATTTTATTATCGTCTTCACCTAGAAGGACTTATCATTTGCAGACTATATAGCTAAGACATCCATCCTTGGCAACTACTCAGTTCTTGGGACATAGAACTCGACTAGGGTCACTTTCGTTAGTACATCCATAGCGAAGTTAAATTAAAATGTTGACAGTAGACCGTCATGACGAACACTTTGTTTTTGTCACTTCAGAAGACAACTGGCCATAAACCTCATAGACAGTCGCATGAGTTCGACCAAAGTGTCTTGATCAGTGTGACAAAATTTCTCTGCACTCCCTTCACAGTTAGACATTGCCACTGCATCTCTTATTCGACTGTGTCCAACGCCGGTAAGTATGCTCCAGAATCTGTTGGAGGGTGAAGATAACAATACATTCCCGTTCACACTTGAAGCTCACCTGGTTTTCTTGTGGGTATTTTTTTCTTGATCTCCACTTAGTCTTCACAGAACTAAGAAACTTAAAACTTAAGACACTTTGTTAGTCGAGCTGAACGCCTTGTGGGTATCATAGGAAGGCCAAGAAGACCATTGATCTACATCAATCCGTTGGAAATGACTCGAAAACCCAGACACTAACTTCTACTTTAGCTAATGCAGTTAATAATTCACCAACAACATGTCTACCATCTCTAATATTAAATCCTCGTACTTTGTCTTGATCTAACCTACATGTACATTTTTCAATTTCATCTAGAGTTGGAGGACCTATATCTGCATCTCTTAGAGGCAAGGGTTGGATGGTGAGCAACTTGAGTGCAGCTGTTAGCCAGTTAACCCCTTCTCAAAATATTCTGGGCTTTGCTAAGATGTGAATAAAGCTTAAACTATCTCTGAGATGATCTTATATATCATATTTTTAGGGTTTGTTTCCCCACTACTAAATAAAAGATAAGGAGTGAAGTGGTTGAATATATCAATCGCTTCGCTAATATTTGAAGTTAAATCCACTAAAGTGGATTAATCGCTATCAAAATTCGGCGCCTCTGAGAGTTCTGTCCATTTTTGACGTCAGTTGTTTATCATAAGGAGTTTGTACTGTTTACCTATCCTAATCTCTGAAAATAAGTGTGTCATGGTGGTGATTTCTACCTCCAGAAGTCTTTTTAGTACCACTCCCTTGTGATGTAAATGCGAAGTGAATTAGGTTGAGATTAGATACACTGTGTTGGGTGAAGAAGGCAAATCACTGAACCAAATCTTTATCGGCAAAATGATTGGGACATACGTTACTTATTACTCGATTCCAACCTCATAGAAAAGTGATTTCAACTGGCGTACACTTAAGTCGGAAGATAGTTAGGGAGTGAGAAAATGTAATATGGAATAATCCCAAGAAGCGTGCGCCATGTGGGTAAATGTATGCTAAGTGACTGAAGTTCTGAGGTTTCTAAGAGTGTTGACGAAACGACCCACAACTTATCATAATGGTACGTATTTATTAGCTCTAAATCATTTTTTTAATCATTCCTGTCGCGTTCATATTTCTGCAGTATATCGTCATTCTTTTTCAGTTCTAATCTTACATGTCGGCTGCTTCAAAATGTTTACAGCTCAAACTTATGTTTTTATTGCGTGTACACGCACATAGCCGTCTACGACTACAGGTTTTTGCGTTCTATCCCATGAGTTAGAATTTTAGGTAAGTAAGGGAAGTCATTGGGGGTAAGGTAATGAAGCTGTGCTGTTTGAAAAGGCAAAAATATGTGTTACGCGTGTTGAACCATCCCCCTCCTCGTCTACCAATGTTTCTTGACAGGAGAAGAGATAGGGATAATCTCACAGAAACCTGGCATTAATCCATGAAGCCTTTGACTGTTGGTTTGAGGGACGTATAGACCCCTTGGCTGGAGTAGTCGAAACTCTATTAGTTTGTTTATTAGATGTATCACACAGCGAAACAGTATTATTTACTTACAGTATTAATTACTTACTACCACAGTGCCCAAGTTTTACACATATAGTCGAGATTCTAATAACCAATGACTGGTAACTGTTGGTAATATGGCTCGAAATCACTCTCAGTGATCCAATTACATTCACTCTTTTTGTTAGGATGGAT